GTTGCTCCCTGTATGTTTCTTTGGCTGTCTCACTGACAGATCCATTTCTAGTTTTAACTGGGTAATTATTATTATTATTATTATTATTATTATTATTATTACAATCAATAATAATAACTCCTACTTTTGACACCCAGTCCATATGGCATTTTGTCTGTTAGTTAGATTATCCAGAAAGGAAAAACATGAAGAGAAAAGAAGAATATTACAGAAAATAAAATATTGAATTAACTTATTTTTCACACATCTGAACCAAAAAATAAAACCATAAATAAAGCATGCCTTTCAGATGCCATGAAGACGTGTGTAAAATGAATTTGTATCCCTGTAAATATAGTATATTAAAGCAAAATGCTTACGGTCTGAGGACATATTACACTGTAGCACTTCTTTACTTAAATGTCCAAATTAATTTTTCTATAAATGTAAATTGAAAATAATTATATGTTACATACTTTGGTGGGTTTTAATCACATCACTTGTTTTTAAAAAACATGGTTTGATTCTTAATGCAGGCATACCAGTTATATACAATTAATGGTGCCAGTGTTATTTTCGCATTTAATGAGGACCAGCAGGTCCCAGTGAAATCATTTTATGTTTATATAAATATGGCAATTTTATCAAATATGCACTGTAATGAAATCCAGGTAAAATTGCACACAACAAGAGTAATAATACTGTAGGTGTCATACAGTATGAATGTTAGATTAGTTTACTTCTTCCTTGCAAATGATATAAATACAATTATGTAGTCATAAAAGGTCACATTGCTGAACTAGAGTGCAGTTTTTCTATCAACAATGGTTCTCGATATATGTATTCTCTGCAGGCTTACAAAGAAAAGCAAACAGTGTCAGAGCTGTTTCCCACAGTCATGTACAGTAGGTGACACAGAGGCTTTCTGAAGCGTGTGTTGCACTTCATCAGGCTGGAAGTAACAACTAAAATATCACAATCAAGGCAGGTCATGTGTAAAACTCACTCAACCATATTCACCTCTTGTATAAGGTTAGGTAAAAAAAAAAGATACTTTTAAGTGAAAAAAATAATCCTTGGAATTTTCATAATCAATAGCAACAAAGAGAATGTGTTCCATCCCTTTCTAGAACAGTAAACAAGACATCTTTTACATTTTTCTTGAGGCTTAAGGTCATGACCTTATGAACCCATATTTACAGTATCTTATTAAACCCAGAACTTGTTCTATATAATAGCAGCAAACCATCAATAAGTAATTAGGGTAATTCTCATTGATTTTACAGGGGAAGAAAGATGTGAGATTATTCAGGATGCTTTTTCTGTTTCTTATGAAAAGCTTTTTTAAAACCTTGTTAATTTCTCAGTTATCCTGTTGTGTGACACAGAAAATATTACTTTGTCAACTCTTTGCAACTCTGTCTGCCCTTTGCAAAGTTTTGGCTTGTGACATTGGTTCCAACTGCAACAGAATATAAAATGTCACCTTCTGTGTGAACCCCGCATTAGTTTAACTGCCCTTCCTATGATAGCTTATCCCTTATCATCAATTGTAGAATACATGTGAACAGTTGTTATATATATTTTGTGGCGATTAGTGCCCAACGAATGACTTCAATCAGAAAATCCACTTTGTACTGATGCTGAACTGGGGTTATTTTATGCCATCCTCAGAGAGCTCTAAATTTAGCCAGACACATCCTGAAAAGGAATAAAGAGAAACTGGATTCAAGATATGGAAAATATAAGACTGGTTTGCTTCCAATTGTTATGAGTCTTGGCCCAAGGGTAGTGTAAATGAAAAAAGTTGCTGAAATGATTCATCATAGTTATGTGAATAAAAAATAATAAGACATCTTTTTCCCATTAAGTGTTATAGCAGAGGTGAAAGTATGCTTCAGTGCATCTGTTCCAATGATTACAGAAATGGTAGAAAGGACAACAGAGCCTTTACACAGATAATATCTCCATTGGAATGAAGCTATTTAGCTTGTACAGTACTGCTGGAGTTTAGAGATAGAGATCAGCATTTTTCTTTTATTCCTTGTCACAGTCAACCAGTTGAGCTACTGCCATCATTAATGCTTACGATGTGGAAGTGCATACAAAGCATTATTGTATTTCTTAACCTTTATGTGTTGTTCAGAAACTTACAATGTATGATTTAAATTTTGATAAGAGCTCATCCGTGTTTAGTTTTGAGAAGAACCCCCCCCCCCCAAAAGAAGAACAACACAGAGCATCTATCTTAACAAATGTGGAGGTCTGGATGAAAGATTCCACTTTTAAAGTCCTAACAGAAAACTGCTAATGAATGTCAAAGCTCAACTTAAATTACATGATCATTTGCAAAAATATTCCTCTTGTAATGTAAAGCTGCCACAAATGTAGCTCCACTATCAATCTTTATTCCTCCTTAATAGTAGATAGACTTCTCAGACTCACTTGAATGCTGTTTTCCTCCCAATGTGCTGCCCACTTTTGTTTGAAAATGACTGTTAGAGCTTTAGCTGTACATCCTGATTCACCAGTAAAGTACTCAGTAATCTCAGAGCACTGAGTTTGTCATGCCACCAGATGGCAAGCTAACTCTTCAACAATAAAGAGCTCCCTAGAACAATGTTTTACAACTTTGTATTTTGTCTACTTTCTTTTCTATATATCATAAGAGCTATAGGTTAGGCATTAATTATTTTCTAGAAATCAGTTTCTTTTCAGAACTTTCATTATTTTTTGAAAGCCAGGACATTGTGTAAACGCATATGTAATAAAATGGAACTCTGAAGGAACAACAGCTACATCACATACAGTACTGCATAATCCCACTTTGCGGAAAACCCACCGATATTTGTCTTTTGTCAAGGCTCATATTGTATCGTGTAACGTACTGTAGGTTTATTTTTTGTGTTCAATGCTCAGTGCTTGTCATCCCATATTGAATTTGTAGTGTTATGTTTTATAGATATAAACTTTGTGCCTCTTCTATTTTGAGACGAAATCTAGAAAAACAATGCACAAAACATGTAGCATGTAGGACAGCATGTTTCGTGCTTTGTATTGTAAACAAAACAGAAAATGTTCTTATAACGTCTTAGAATGAGAATCAATATAAAGTATACAAAGAATCAGATGTGCTTCATGGATAGATATACCCGAACTCAAAACAATACACAGGATGTAGGCTACTGTCCATAATGAAGCAGAATACGGTTATTTATTTTTCACTCCTGCCATGCTCTTAAAGAAACAACTGCATAGCAGACAAAATCCTGTATTATCTTGAAGTCCATTTGGAGTTCTGGAACTGCTTTTTTGGGCCATCTCTCTTTAACAACATGCTCTGCACATTTTTACAGTTTCTGAACAGCAAGGTCACTTTGCTCTTCTGTCTTTTGCCTTATTTGTTTCCATTGCTTTGTTTTCAATCAATATATGATTAAGATGCTCAGACAGAGACGGTGTTTTTAAAGGCTTCGAGCTCAGCATGATCAGAGAGCACCATTTAAGAGCGCAGCTTTCAGAAGAGTCGTTAAAAAGCTACTACTACTTAATAGTGTGCACCAGACTTTTGGTGTATGCCTGTTTTCAGTTTTCAAAACATCCTCATAACTGTTTTTTATTTGCCGGATTTGTATTAGTTATATAATGAAAGTTGCAGGTTCTACAAGTTGTAACGGCTTTTACATTAGCATGATAAACATAAAAAAAGCAATTTGAAACCTGTCTGCATTCATCTACTGGACAGAAGTACTACATGAAGACGCTATACTGCGGCCCCTACATTATTATATTGAGACAGAGACCATGTTCTTTTGCGGGACGGATGATAAAATACAAATGCTGCAGATTACCAATGACTTCAAACTTCAGGAAAGTTGAAACAAACAAATTTGTACACAGTCAAATGTGCTGGGTTTGGATTTATATGTTTAAAGCACATTTAAAAGTATCCTCTATCTGTCATAGTTATATGAAACACTTATTTTCCCTAATCAACTTTCACTTGTGGTGCACGTGTTCCTTTAAGGCTCAGTGTGTTGCACATATTAACTACAGTAGGTTTGTTTTGGTTATTGAACTTTGGAATTGTCATTGCTTAATGTTTCATGAGCTTAGGTAGACAAATCCTACATCCCCAAGGCAATTCTAGTGGGAATATAGCTTCATTTTGCTTTGCAGGAATCAATTCTGCCTCTTGTTTGCTTAAGTTTGATAAAATAACAGTACCAAAAGTCTCACAATGTGCAGATTTCCTGATAAACCACATTCTGTTGTCCAATGTAGCCTCATCTCTTTTAGTTGTGTCTGGGAATATACATACATAGCTTTCAAAAGTAATCACAGAAGGAAAAATCATTTAAATAATGCCAGCACTGTCATTTTTTCATGAGGATTTTAGAAGGAGCTTTGCTGATTTATTTTTTTATCCCGACATTTATCATGCAAGGTCTGCTTAGCTTTCTCATTTCTTTTTTTAATCACTGAAAGTTGTTTTGACAATGGATTGTGAAGTTATGGATGAGTTTTGATTGTGTGACTTTTACAGTAGCATAATATATACTTTAGGGGAGCTTATACTACCACAGAAAATTATCTTTTTGTGAAAAGTGTTAAGTGATTGCTCTAGCTGGGTTTCCAACTAGCTTATTGCAGTCAAAATTAATACAGTTTTAAGCCTATAATGTTCCAAATTTACTTTATGTGCAATATCTCTAGTTTAGAATGT